TCGAATTTCACCAAAAATGATTTATACTTATGTCATTATCAAAGAAATGTTTTATGTATTATTATTTCTTGTAATCAGATGAAACTGAAGAGTAAATTATAAATATAAAACTTTTAACAATTTAGCTATTTTGTTTCAGCTATTTTGTCCTTATTACAATAGCCGTTTCTTTGCCGGTCCATACAAAGTTATTATTTAATGATTTCACTGAACTTTATCATTTAACTAAATGTATTTATTATTTAACAAAATAGCTGCTCTTTTTAACAAAATATGATGTTATTTGATAAAATGGGCCACCTGAGACCGAGTGCATTTAAGACCACTGAAGGATGCTAGTTTAAACCCTTTTCAAATCCTCGCAAGTGGATTGCTTGCATTTATCAGTTACCATGCTTTTATCAGTGTGTAACGCAAATGCAAACCATTTGTCTCTCTAGAAAGTTTTAAGACATCCTTTCCTGGGGTAGAAGCCCTCTCATTCTTTGTCATAATCTTAGACGGCAATAAAACCATGTATGCAGATTTTCAGAACTTGTTTGAACTTGTCTGATAAAATGCTTTATTATATTACAACAGATTGTTACTCACATCAGTGTTCAGAATTTTAGTTAAATTTCAGCTTGCAATGAATAATTTTTAACTTTATTTTTGTATATATGAGTATGGAGGTATATGAAGATCTTCCTGTATATACATAATTCATAACTTAATTGGATAGAGCTTCTTGATAAGAATCGCTGATTCCAGCAAAAGAGGAGAAAAGCAGACTAGAAAGTATTATTTTTATTACTGTTTCAAATGAAAACCGAAAGTTAAATACTACATGCGTGGAATTTCTAACTTATTTGTAGAACATAAAATTATGCATGCAGCACTGCTTAAATCCAGTGTGAATATATTATTCCAAAAGTTATCCCAGACATATGTTTTCAAATGTTTTACCTACAATGTCAGTGATAAAGAAGGTAGCATTGCTATTAATTTGAAATCTCTACGTAGATGAAAATTTTTATTTTTTAAACTTTATATTTTCGGAAGAGACAGGGTTAAAAATAACAACGGAATTTAACTTATAAATCTAGAATGTATTTATATAAATACTGTAATGTTTCGGGCAAGTATTGCTTTCAACGGAATTCAAAGCATGTATTATGCGTTAAGACTTTTTGTAAAAATTGTTAGATATAAATATGCAACTCAAACACAGAAATGGGAAGAATTTTTTTTTCGTAAACTGTTTTTTTAAGAGGGAAGGGGGAATTAAATGTTTCTGAAGGTCGGCATACTTCTTACTTTTGCTTTGTAACTGAAAGCAGTCATACATTTTATCTCTCATTCCTTTAATCTCTCCTAGAAGATTATCTTCCGACAATTTGCATAAGGCAGTCCGAAAAGTATGGTATGTCTTTATGTACTGAATTATTAGCTACTGGAAATAATTATAAAAAATCTTTTTAAGTACAAAATACAGTTGAATAAAATGACACAAATTTTGTTATAAAGCCTATAAGAATATATAAAAATGTTCTAGTTAAAACTGGTAAAATTTAAACACGCTAAATATGGAATTTGTGTGACTTGGATGAGTAAAAGCAGTCAGGTAGGTGTTACCTTTTATGAGACTTTAATAAAGTAGCCACAATATCTTTTTTCTGAGACAAAAAAAAACTGAATTTACTTATGAAAGAAAAACCTTTTCGGCATACAGTGGCATTATAAAACTTTGAATACAGCGTCTTTTATTGACTATGTTTGCAAATCTAAAAATTCCCTAAATGTAAAGCCAATGTATGCTTGTAATTTCCACTTGCCATCTATGACTACTTGTTTTTTAAATGATGTTTACGTTAATAAAATTTTAGACTGGTAATATACCCATGAAGTTAGAAGCAAAATATTGTGGCTGCGCTTTTCATTTATTTAGTGCAACTTCCACTGGTCTTTTTAATTCACCTTGAAGTGACTTCTTTTAAAGGTGGGTTTTGTTATTTAGAGACAAAAATAGTGACACACACTGACTTCTTTACTAATTTTAAAAATTTCACAGAGGGACTCGTACAAAACATTTCTAGAGTGAAACCAATCTGAGGTGATCACCCACGGCTTCAGATGACTTTGATCATTTTGTAGTGGAGGTCTCGCTTAAAAGTGCGACTGTTTCAAGACCTTTACTTTAATTATGTTCTCAGAAACACTGATCACATTAAAAAATTAATGTCTTAGTTAAGTTCATAATTTGAGAGATTTCACTACATTAATCTAAACATACTCTACATTATGTAGCTGTGAAACTGAAATCCTAATGCGCTTAGCAGAGTTCAGAATTATCTGCGATTTCACCACACTCGGTATTACATACTGTGGGATTTCGTTTACCTTTTAGGTCCACATGAAATTGATTCTGCCAGGAATAGAACGAGACGCCTTCCGTTTAATGACACGTAGTCAACTTGCCTTGTTCTTCTTAAAAGCCTTTTCCTCACTCTGCTATTTTATTACTGTGTTCTCTTATTAGTAAACAGAAACAAAAGAGTAATAATTCTGCTATCGATTTCTCCTTGCCTAGAAAGTTAATTTTTCCACACAAAACAGCTTCAGATAAATTTAGCATACATATTGCAATTAAGTCACATCTAAAAAAATTATTTCTGAATTAATATTATATTTAGAGAGATGATTTTACAATTTATAGCAGAGCAGAGTGACTTTAATGCAGTTGAAAAATCAGCACCAATAGTGAAAAATCTAATAAATGCAAAGAACTCGTTTTTAGTTAATATTAAAGAATGTTATTACTTTATAACTCATACGGGCAGATGCACGTCAATCTTATCAAACAGCAACACATTTCATAGATTAAACACGATATTTAACCGCATAAATCGAGAATAGTGATCACTTAAATTTAAAGTGTCGTAAACTTCAAAATAAAATTCTCTAATCTCCCCATTATTCCTGCCACTGAGGGTTGCCCTTTTAACTATTTCTTTTTTCAACTTTATGCTTTTTTTCAGTTGTGATGATCTTATAGTCGACATTCGGTTTTTAAAGTTACCCTAACTCTAAAGCTTCCGTTTGCCCCATCTTGTTGTTTGCTCTCGAAAACTTTGCCTAAAATCTAATTTTCTAATATTAATTAATGAATATTTCTTACTTTTAAAATCTGAATAGCTATATTGTGTCCTTTGGCTGCTGAAAATTTCAAAGCAAAAAGCGAAGGAAATATAAAACAAATGTAAAGAAAATTTTAAATCAGCTATCTTAATAAAAAAAAACCACACCTGGTATTTAAAATACATTTTAGGCCTTGCAGAATTATACTTTAAGATCTCAATGAAAAATTTTTACAAAGCTAAAAATTTTTAATGCATCCCATTGCAGTAATCTTTTTCAGCTTAAGCATTGAAAAATAATCTATCGTTAATCATTTAAATTACGTATCCCCAAATTCTTATTTTCTAAAACGAAGTAAAAATACAGAGGTTTGGTAATAAAACCGAAACACCTGCATCTAGAGTGAAATACATTATAGGATGTAATCCTTCTTTTTGAAGCCAATGCGATAGCGATAATTGCTAAAAAGGACCGATGCTAGTCTTGTTAAATTATTAGGATTATTTTAACCATTTCTCTTGCAAAAACAGTTTTTTTATCTCTTTGTCAAATTAGAGGAAGAAAACGTATCCTCTAGATAGGTTTGGAAAATCAGTGGTGGTTATCCCAAACAACGGGGTTGAGACAAGGGGACTGGGCACCTATCTGCAAGATGATAGGCTCATTCTCATGCTCTTCAGACTACTTTATCATCAGTTTCACAATGTGAGCTGTGCAATGCTATCTTGATGCACAGTAGATTCTTTGGAATTCAACGTTCGCACGAGCGGATGACTTGATCCACAATTAGACTTTGACATAAATGTGATCGTCAAGAATAATCAGTGTTCCCAGGTTCACTTTTGTGTTTCACTCTAGACAAGAAACAGCACTGATAATATAACTCTGAAGGCGATGAAGGTGGACTCGTGAATCAACGATACATATTTCCCATTGTGTACTATCCATGTTTTGAGTTGCTAATACCTCTGAAATCGGTTTTTAGCATAAGCGCTGGTTTTCAACCGCCTCTGCTATAATTTCTGGATCGTAAAAAATAACTCTCTAAAGATCATGATAATCACGTTTTGAAAATTGTGCAAAATAAGAAGAGTGTATGTTATGCCATAATATGAGTAGTAGCTGTTTTTTGTTCTGTAACTGCAATTCTTTTTAACACTTCAACAAATCTTACCTCTACAGTTATTAGGATTATACCGAGTTCTTCGCTTTTCTGTCTACACTGACCGGACTGAATAATGTTGCCCTGAACGTACAAGAAAGATCTGTTGTCTTGGTAGCAGATACACTAGCCAAAGGAGGGTCAACAATTTCTCCTGCGTCCAACTATTACATATTCTTACCACTTATGTCGTATAATTCTCAATGCTTGAAGTCTAATATCTTTGAAAATTCAAACGTCGCACTAACTTCTGTTGATAAAATTTGGAATCATTTTGGGTTCTCAACAGGAGCTGCAAATGTTGGCTTGAAATTCAGAATGCTGTATTCAATGTGTGTTTCGGTTTCATTAAATGACCCCTGTATTTGCTAAATATCATGATTAAGAATTAAATTTTTATCAAGTCACAATATAAAATTTAATGTTACTATTTGCAGCAAATTTTAAAGCATACTTTAGTGGCTTTAAGAAAAAAATTGAAACATTCCCTTAAATGTAAATAATAAATGACATAAGTCTTGTGAACTAATAACAACATTTTGTATGTAAAATGTAATAATGTGAATAAAAAATTAAGTCGTTGTTTGCAACTGAATTAGAGCAATATAATATTAAAAATATAATAAACGGTTGGTGCCTACACTAGCTATTCCAAATTTCTCCATGCATTTTTGATAATTTACTATTTGAAGAGGAGCTAATACAGTGCATTACGTTGCAGCAGTTCCTTACGTGGTTCCAGGTCAAGATGGTCCGAAAATTGAAGGTACAAGTCCAAGGTATGAAATTGGGGACTTGGTAGATGTTAACTGTACATCGGCTCCTGCTCGCAGCGCAGCTCTTCTCAAATGGTTTATAAATGACAAAGAGGTAAGCAAATCCAGCATATTACACATTCTAAAATTCTTTTCCTACATTTCTAGAACTGGTGATACAACTTCAGTAAGATGTCGGGGAAATGTGTTTGTTTTTCCATTGCAGGAAGTGTTAAAAGAATCAAATAAAATAATCCTTTAGATTGCGGCAGTTTGGGTTACAAGATATCTTCTAGTAAAAATGTACAAAATGTAAACTTTTATACCAGTCCCCGTAAGCAAAAAATGTCAGTACGGAACATACTTTCTAGAATTCAATGAGTAAAATAAAAATGAATGTATTCCTGTACAATCAAAATTAATAGAAGTAACATTAAAGTCACTAGCACCTTTTCAACAAACACCTTTCGACAATTATTAATAATCCTACTATTTTCCCAGTAAATCCATGGATGTGCTTAAGCAAATGCTGTTTCGAATTCAGATATCTGAAAAGTACTTTTGTTGCTAACAGATGTAATTCTGAAGGAAAATATTTATCTATGATACTATTGATATAAACACGTCGTAAATATAAACATGGTACTTAAAAAAACCATGTAAAAGGCACGTCTTTAAAATTATCTCTTTAAAAAATGGGTTTGTCTGTCTTCATTTGTATCTTAATTTGCTAAAGTTTAATACTACAAAGCTGAACATGTTATATATTTTTGGATTCAGCAATGCCCATTTTATTTTTTAAATTTAAAACTGAAAATCGATATCTGGATGGTTAATTTGATCCTCTTAGTTTTGGATGCAATGCATAAAACTTCTAAAAGGTACAATGTATCAGTTTGAAATTTTGTATTTAATGAAATTCAGTTTTATACAGCCCCGTACTAACGAAAGTGACTTAATTCTTGCAACTATGATAATTTTAAACGATGATCAGTGTTTTCTTCCCAATGTATGTTTAGTAGTATTAAAATTAACTGTCGTTGTCTGAAGGTTTACATCACTTGATTTTTTTTCTTATTATCTCAATACAACAAACAAATCGCTCAAGAGAGTTTTCGGAGAACCTTAAAGGGAAGCTGAAGAGTTTCCCATGCATATTATAGATGTAAGTCTTTCACATGGAAAGGATTTGCATGTAAGTCCTATTTCTAACTTCCTGTACCTTCTAAAATAATCATTCATTTAATTTATTATATTCACTATGAAACTATAACTTTTAATTAACCCTCCCTCAAATAATGTTTAAAATTTTAAGGACAGAATGACTTGGGAATGGGATTCTTGTGAGAAATTAAAATTAAATTCAGAGCAAGTGTGCAAATGCATTGCAGACATTCCAAAAAGTATGGAGTTGTGTGGAGATTGCGCCTTTCCGAAAGCGTAGATGATATTAAGCAGTTACAGAAGGTCAGGAATGTGGCAACTGATAACGAGTATTGAATGTTTGGGTGTGATGTCAGCAATAGCACAAGTATATTGCTTTTCGAGTAATGAGCATTGTTACTGGACGACTTCTTTTTAATCGGTTCTCTAAACTAAATACTCTTTCTAAGATTCCAGAAGTTGAAATGCCAAAAAGTTGCATCAAATTTGAGAAGAAATTTATAAAATATTCTTGACCGTATTTTATAAAGAACAGCAATTACCCTGACTCCTTCTCATGGACATATTCATTGGAATACTTCATTGGTTATATACAATGAATTCATAAGTTTTTTAATTTTAAAATAAAATATGTGTAAATATTTATATCAAATGAGTAATGTATTCGGTCTACAACCAAAAGTTTCTCCTATTTATTAAATTTATTAGTTATTATCAAATATTTTAAGATTTATATTTCAGAATTATATTCATTGCTTAAATAATCTATAGCTTTTAATAGCACAGTTGTTTACTATTTGACTACAGTTGTCTTAATTAAACTATTTAACATATATTTCTGTATTATTAACTAGTATGTTCTTTATTTCGGCGTAATCCACCCCATTGAAATATATAGAGGATAATCCATAATCAGTGTTATAACGTCTAAGGGGTTGTAGGTGATGTCACTGTGCTATGGAAGTTGTAATAACTTACTTACATCTTCTTTATCGGTGGTTCTTGTGTTCTATCGGCCAAACAAAGACACTTTCCTTTAACTAAATCTATTTAATGAAGAGAAGACTATGTACAAATATTATATACAGATTACAGAGTATCTAGTTTATGTCACTCTCAACCACTCTCATCAACCTCTCAACCCTCTCTGCCGAAACTCTTAATTAGCTAAACATACGGGCGGCGCAGCGCCCTCTATCTCTTTTTTCTACATCACTCCCTACCTGTACTCTTTAATAAGAGTACACAAACTTACTTACATAACAATATCAACATTAATTAATAATGGATTAATACTAAATGGTATGACATATATAAATGAATAATATAAAAGAATAATCTATACTAGTATATCAAAGCCACAAATGAACATAATAATTAATAATGTAATAAAACTCAATAATATCAAAAGTTCTATCTAAATTAAATCTCGAAAGGATATAACATCTGGATCGATCTTCTGAATTGTCCTTTGGGCGTGCGAACAAGGCACGCTCGAACATGTCCATCTCTTCCTATAATCACGTTTTCAATTACACCCATGTCCCAAAGTAATCCCAAAGTAGTTTGGATTGTTTTGGTCCTTCTACCAACACAACGTCTCCAGTCTTAAGGTTCCGCTCAGTTTTAGGATTAGCAAAGTTATGCGCATTTCTAAGATGGAGTAAATATTGCTCTTTCCACTTGATCCATGTTAATTTTAAGAGCTTAGATTGGTAAAGCTTCCTCCTGGTTAAAGTCTCTTTGTCGGATACCTTGTTAAAAATTTCCAAGAAATGCTCGGGAAAGTTAAATGTACCCCGTCCTGGCAATAAAAACTATGAAGGTGTGAGCGGGCGAGGTTCACCCAGCTCGTTGCTCTCGTATGTTAGAGGTCTATTATTTAGCACACACTCGAGTTTAGTTAATATTGTAGAGAGCTCTTCGAAAGTCAGTAATGCTCTCCCTAAGATTTTCTTCAGAGGTTCCTTGATGCTTCTCTTCAAACGCTCCCAGAACCCTCCCCACCATGGGGAACGCTCAGGTATGAATTTCCATGTTACCTCTTTGGATGTCAAGAAATCACTCACACTTGGATCTGCTTTGATTCTTTTAAATCCTTTAATTTATTTCACATGTGCTGCGGAAATTCTTGGCATTATCTGAATAAATCACTTTGCAGCTCCCTCTTCTTGCTAAAAAAACGTCGTAATGAAAAAATGAAACCTTTTGCTGACATATCTGAAACCACTTCAATGTGTACAGCACGAGTGACGGAGCATGTAAATAAGGCTATGTACACCTTTTTGTGGTTATCCGCTTTTTCTCTAATAGTAACTGCTCCCGTTAAGTCGATGCCTACAACTGTGAAAGGATTACTTTGGACTACACGATCTCTGGGTAACTGACCCGTTAACTGTTTGGCGGGCTTCACTGCAAACGTTTTACACACCAGGCAAGCGTTAATAACTTTCTTTACTACTTGTCTTCCTTTAGGTATCCAAAATTTATTCCTGACTTTGGACAATGTTGCCATGACTCCTGAATGGAATACTTTTATGTGTTCACTAAATATCACTAGTTTGGTGAACTTCGTTTTGGGCAGAATAATGGGATGTTTTTCGTCATCTATTAATTCTGCTTGTTCCAAACGACCTCTGACACGCAAAATACCTCTACTGTCTAGATATGGTGCTAAACTGTAAAGCTTAGAATCTGGTGTTATTAGATTATTCCTCTCTAGTTGTTGAATATCCGAAAAGTAATTCGCTCTCTGGTACTTGTTTTATCCAGTACTCCTCAGCTTCTTGGATCTCCAATACAGTAAGAGGACCTTCTTCACAGGCACGTTTTTCTTAGCTTGGCGACAAACCACTTTACCCAAGCTGTAACTCTCAACAATTTTTTCGAGACTAGCTGAATTTGGTTAATGTCTAACGCATTTTCTTCTTCTGGAATAGTCACCTTGAACATAAGTGCTTAAACGTTCCAAATTTTGAGTATCAGTTTCTACTTTAAACTTCTGCTCAGGCCATTGATCTTCAGAATCTTTCAACCATGATGGACCATGCCACCAGTTATTATCTTTCACCAATGCATTTGCTGTTTCACCACGAGTTAATTTATCTGCTGGGTTTTCCGACCCTGGACAATATTTCCACTTATCAGGCGAGGTACAGTCTTGTATTTCTGCAACTCTATTCGACACGAACTGCTTCCACTCACGCGCTGACCCCTTTATCCACCACAAGCAAATTTTGGAGTCCGTCCACAGAACTAACCTACCTACCAAATCCTGAAACATTTTCAATAAATATTTTCCTAACCTAGCTGCAACTACAGCCCCCATCAATTCCAACCTAGGGAGGGACAACTTTTTTAACGGAGCTATCCTACTCTTCGACATTATAAACGACGTACATACCTCTCCTCTCTCATTCTTGTATCTAAAATATGCCACCGCTCCATATGCCACTACTGACGCATCACTGAAAATATGAATTTCAACCGACTGACCTTTACTTAGAACTTCTGTAAAGTAGTACCTCTCTATTTTCAACGCGTTTAATTCCTCAATTTCAGCGCACCACTTTATCCATTTGCACCGTAACTCCTTTGGCAACTCTGCATCCCACTCCAAACCTCTCTCCCATATTTCCTGCATCAGTCTCTTAACTCGCACCACAAATGGAGAAATAAATCCGACTGGGTCAAACACCTTAACTGCTGTGCTTAACACCGATCTTTTACTATTTCTCAACGATTCTAAACTACTCAACAATGATGTAACGTCTACTCTCAAACCATCCTCTTCTAAGTTCCACACCAAGCCTAACACTTTCAACTTACTATCTCTCTCAGACCTACTTTCTTCACACAACCTTTCCTGTACCCACAAGTCATACAGCTCTTTAGAATTAGTTTTTAGCTTTCTCAAATTAAAACTCGCGTCTCTCAAAATAGATACCGCCT